ATTAAATGCACAGATGTGAAACAGGGGATGACTGGTTAGGCAGCAGGGTGCCAGAAGGGGAGAGTATAGCAGATCACCGCCAATGGTCAGCAATGCAATACAGTTGCACAAAGACGTGTCATTCTGATTTATTAGCAGGGATATAAGATAGAGGAGGTTGTAACTCCTGTCCGCTAGTGCCTAGGGGTGGCCCTGTACCATGTGTCTGCAGCTGCAGAGAAGGGCTGAAGGGGAAGAACAGGAGTGGTGAAGGCTTGGAGAGCAGGACCTGGAAGCAACAGTTGAAGCAATTAGTTTTGTTAGGTTGGGACAAAAGAGAAAGGAGCAGTGACACAGCAACCTTTTCTTGCCCATTTGAAGACTTATAAAAAGGGGAATAAAACCATTGTTCTCTGTGTCCACTGGGGAGACGGTAAGGAATAATTGGCTTGACTTGTAAAGGAAATTTCCTGTATAAGGCAAATTAAGCACTGAGGTATCTACAGTGAGGGTGTTGAGTGCCTGTGAATTGTCACCAATGGTAGGGGTGTGTCTGATCCTGCCTCAGAGCAGAATAGATATCTTTTTCAGGTCTCTCCAAACCCTGCATTACCACGATGCCTTTGCTTAGGACTGTACAGATTGCCAGGTTGGCACTGGAAGGAATTTGTCCCCAGGTCATATTAGCAGGGACTTTCCTCAGCAGCCCAAGGAGTTGTTTGCTTGTGGAGTCATCTGAGCATCTTACTTGGCCAGTTTGTGTAAGGGTGACCTAGGGATTTAATAATGCCTTTCTCTTTCCTTTTCTCTACCTGTGACAGACTTTATTAGTTTTCTTAGGCATTGAATGACCAAAATGCTCTCCTTTCACTTAGGGCAGGTGTCAGCAGGGCTGTGGTAGTCCAGTGCTGGCAAAGGGCTCCTTGAAGGATAATAATAGAAAGGGAAGGAATTGCTCATCAGTCGATGTGTATATGTTGCATGTGGCACCCCACCATTGAGCTTTGGCAAGCTGAGGGCCAGCCGGAGGGATTTGTGTTTGCAATAGCAGGTGTCACCTTGCAGGAAAGGCAGGCAGATCCTGCCTGTGGCTGCCTGCAAGGTGCTCAAGTCAGCCTCATGGCTGGGATAATTTTGACCAGTTATAATTTGTCAGTGCGAGCAACTAACAGCCTCCGTGCCATGAAAACTGATCAAGCATTATTTCTTTTGTAGGAATGACATCAGAAACATGGGAATTTTCAAATCAGATTGGATAAATGGTCTAATCTCCTGCTGGACAGGAGCCATTATCAGCTGCTGTAGACAAAGACGACAGTATTCCCTTGCTAAGAATGACTGGATTATTGCCCTGCTAACCTGCTGTACATAGCAGTGAACGTGCAGGTTTTAATCTTTATTTTTCTATGAGCAAATAGGCGTTTGAATAGCCTCAACTTCTTTGTAAATAAACAGGCTTTAAGAAATAAAAATTAAAAAGTGGTAGGCTCTTCTAACAGTGATGAGTTTCACAAGTAATTTTGCACTGCAAAAATAGTCGAGTTAAAGATCACATTGAAAAAATAGCAGCGGATCCTTGATTTTATTACAGGTCCCATCATGATCAGGCACAGCAAATGATGTGCTGCTCTGTGTTTACTTGCCTCCTTTCTGCTGTTTACTCACACTTCCCTTTCTCACGTGGTTCTTTACTCTTACTGTATTGTAATTGAACTTTTGCTGTAAATTGTCTCATGCACCCAAAATCCTGAGTTGATTATCGCATGCTTCAGGAAAGAATTAACTTCTTGCCGCTACGCACACAATTGCCTGGTTCTCTCATCAAATGCCCCACCCTGCACAGCATGGATACTGCTAATGACAGGTTATGCCATGTTCACGGGCCTCTGGGAGCAGAGAAAAGGCCAGTTCTGAGCAGGTGCCCAATTTGATTGCAGTATCATGAAGGCTAATTACTCTAATAAGCATTTATGGGATTCAGAGATCAGGAGAAAAAAGATCACAAACTCTATTAAGGTGTCAGAGGTGTTGAAGGAAAATTGAAAGTATTAAGTGCCAATTTCTGTTTTCTGAAATTCAAGCTAACGTCACTGAGAATTGCTGAGAGTCATCGGAGGGCAGATCCTGATGCCCTTGAGGGACTGTGTTCAAGCTGTCTACAATATGTACCTAACTCAGGTACTGTTGACTGCTTTGAACGTAGGAGCAAGAGTACCCGAAGCAAATCGGCCTACTTGCTTTTTGGGGCTGATGACTCCACCTCTCTGTGTAACGGATGAAGAGAAGTAGTTGTGACACCTAACTGAGTACCAATAGTAGAAAACTTGAACAGGTCTCCATCAGGGAGAGGGTATTCAGAGTGGGCAAACCCTGGGGAAAAGCTCTTCACTTGGGGAATGCTGAAAGGAATTGGCTTGAGAAAAAAAAACAATGAGCTCATGATAGCATTTACATTGCCGGTCACCTCCACACAAGGGTCCTGAAACTCATTGTGTTAACACAAGGACTCAGGAGTTGTGCCTGCACAGGGTGATTGGGGTGGACTCCAGCCTCTGAGCCTTCATCCATGTGTTTTCCACTGGTGTGATGGCTCTAGCTGTCACTTGGCTCTAGCTCGGGTGCAAAATGTCTACACTGTACTTGGCAAGAGCCAAGCTGGGAACTCTGCTGCAGCTGCCCCTGCCCAGCTCGAGCAGAGCTCACTAATGAGCGCCTGCACACGCACTCTGATAGGGGGCAAGCTGGGACTCTCCCTTCAGAGAGGGTCTGGACCTGCTCTGATCCTAGCACGTGCATTGTGTAAGCAAGCTGGATGGTGGCTCTAGACTTCAGGACAGCTCAGACCCACGCTGACTGCAGCACAGTCATGTGTCACCTGCATTTCTCTTCCACGTGCAGCTCAGGGCATCGTTGGGTTCAGGCTGCAGGTTTCAGATACTGGAGAGCCCCTTTTCTTGCAGTGTAGTCCTATCCCAGTAGAGGATATCTGAGCCACTTGTGCTAACTGCTCCCAGGTTTAAATAGCAAAACCTTTGCACTGTGTTTTCATAGGAGATACAGTCTTGAGAAATAGCTTCTCCTACGTCAAGTGAGGTCAGTTTGCCTTAGAGACAGGCTGGGAAGTGTGACTGCTTTTTCCAAATATTTGGGAAAGTAGACAGATGAGGAAGAACATGAGTTAGAGGAGAGCTGTGTTGGACATACAAAAATAAACCGTCTTATTGTCAGACAATTTTAGAGTGGCATTTTAAAAAGCTCTGATTTGAAACATGACCCTTTATGTGTGCCCCGTATGAGACATGCTGGGCATGTGTTTGTAAGCAGTTCCCCTGAACTCTGCATTTTTCACTTGGAATTAAAACTCCTCACTACACCAGCCCCCTCATCTGAAGCAGCTGCTGGTGGCCGGCATTGTCAGCGGTAGCTCATGATCCCAGGGAGGTGTTCCTGGAAGAGGTATACCCAGCACATTTTGTGCACGATGGCCAGCCTTGGAAATCGCTGTTCTCCATATGTGCCGTTGAACCTACCTTTTTATCATTAGCCATTTTATTCTGGACCATACTGAATTACACCATTCTTTTAATGCCAGATAGAAGTGGTTCCACTTACTTACAATTTCTTACGATTTCTCCTGTGCAAGGATGTTCAAAGGTATATGCCACTCGAGACTCTTCAGTTGCACCTTATGGACATGAAAGTGGCATTTTGATGTATTTTTGGATGGATTCCTTTTATGTTTTATTTTTCCTTCCTCAGAATCCTGTGTTCTAGGTAGGAAACCTGTTCGCTAGAGGATTAGTTACTTTTTGCTGAGTCTCTTGCTGAATTTTCATGCTCCACAGAACTTCACAGTATAAACAATTTTACAAAACAGAATTAACACTGTTTTTCCCAAGGAAGTATCATCAGAATACCCAATCTGTGTAATTAAAGTATTGAGAATGCTGCTTGTTTTCTGGAATAGGTACCAGATAAATAGCTGGTCATAGATAAAGCATTTGGTAAGCTGTCGGATAATCATGCCCATTTATCACATTTATGGGATGACATTTAGGGAAATGTATCTGCTGCACTGCTTGGACAGGAACAGATATACCTTTGAAAACCTCAGCAGAACCTACTGAAGTGCTTGTCCCCCTCCTGAACTGACAGATGCCCACAGGAGTGTGTGCTGACAGGCCCAGTGACAAGTCATCCTTTTCCCTTCAGTCTGATTGAATTCCCAGATCTGAAAATCGAGCGTTCTAAATGCTTTTGGTCTAACTGAAATGTCTCTTCTAAACTGTAAGCCATTTATCTGAGTTCTAATCTCTCCTGCTGAGCTGTCACAGTCAAAAGGCAAATCTCCTTACCAGGCAGACAGATGCTCTGAAGGTGTAGGGAGGATTTCAATTTTAATGGAGATGTTTTCATCTCCCTGAAACAGAAGTGCCCCAAGGACCCATGTCACACGTTGCCTGCAAGGGCTCATCTGCACCCCACATAGGGACAGAAAGCTAATTTGAGATTGTCTGGCTGAAGAGTAGCCATATGGCACTGCACTTGGAGTAATTAGCCAAATGGGAAGGGGTTAGTTTCTTCAGGGTCAGTGATATACTCAGGTGTCTCGGGGACCTTTCTGTGGCACCGCGGGTGTCATTTGGAGATGTCTTAGGGATCTCTGGCATGGTATTGTGCCGTAGTGCAGAGCGCTACATAGCTCAGACAAGGCCCATCCTTGATGGCAATGCTCCTGTCGTGCTGGGGGGGATGACTGTGGGTAGGTGCAGAGTCCCCAGTTGCTTTACCCCCTCTCTGGAGCATCCCTGCAGGAAAGTGAGTGATGGGAGTGCTGAGGGCACTTCTGAAACTGCCAGTGGAGGTAAGGGTGTTCACACACGCTATGCACTAGCAGGCCTCTGGGGTGGAAACCAGCTGCTCTTTAGGAAGGATTTCAGAAGACTCTGCTGAGGGCACGGGACTATGTCCTGCTAATGCTGAGTTCCCTGTGCTGACTGGGACTGTCGTCTTGTTTTAAGGTCAAGTGGCAGAAGGATGACATGGACAACAATTTGAACTTCTTCTCCGTCTCCTCAGATGGGCGGATTGTTTCATGGACTTTAGTTAAGGTAAACAGTAGGTGTCAACTTCTTTTCCCAGCCAAATTATAACCAATTGCCTCCAAAGTTCAATGATGCATTAGTTTTATTTTTATTTATAATGATCCAGGTTTGAAAAGAAGTGGCAGAAAAAGATTGCAGGGGCAGTCACAGCTGGGTCTGGGGCTCCGTGTTAAACTCTGAAATGAGCAGAACCAGCCTAGTCCTTGCTTGGGACCTAACCTTCATCTTGCCTGCACCTGTAGCACTCCACGAGCCCGAGTACGAGAGATCATTTTCATGCTTGGCAGCTGCAGGAATTCAAGACTGGTCCTTGCTCTGAAACTTTCCTTGTCTCAGGAGGGTCACCCAGAGACAGAGCAGAATAATCTGCTTTCTTCCTCAGCTTCAAGACTCTCACCTCCAAAATGGTCCCCTACAAATTGCAATTCAGAATGGGAGAGGGAAGGTGCAAATTTCTCCCCTTGTGGCCAAAGTAGCACAGAGTAATCTCTCATTTGCAATGGGATGGCAACATGCAATCAGACAGGCAGAGGGTTTCCCTGCGCCATGACATTGCCAGCTCACACCCAAGACAACCTCTGTTAACTCGTTTGCATTCCCTGCCTTTGATCACTTTTTCTTTTGGAGTACGTGCGCTGATAGGAACTTAGCATTAATGTCCCTAAATAACCCTTAGATATATGTCTCTGAATCTCAACATATGTTTTTTCTATTGGCTATTTGATTTTACATTTTGAAGATTTCA